CTGTACTCCATTTGTAACAACCCTCTACTTTCTTTCATCCAGCCACTTTTCTATCCAATTTGCTAACTTATCCCCCTCACCTAGAGAGAATATTTTTATAAGCCTTTTATGTGGCTTTCTGAAAATCCAGATACACCAAGTCTACATCCTTACCCTAATCTACATAAGAAGTAACTTTTTCAAAGAATGTCAAAAGGCAAGATTTTTCCTTAGTAAAACCGTGTTGACTATCCAACAAAATTCTGAACTTTGTTAAATGACTTAGCAAAGCATCTTTTATCAGATTTTCCAAAACCTTTCCCACAATCGATGTAAGACTAATGGGTCTATAGTTACTGGGAGAATGTTTATAACCTCCCTTGATAAGAGGAGTAACAATAGCCAACTTCCAATTCTCTGGCATCTGCCCACTGTTCAAGGACTTATTATTATTATTATTATAATAATAAAATAGTAGCAAGTGACTCGCATATCTAATTCTTAAACTTCTTCAAAACAGGGAAATATTATCTGGCCCAGAAGATTTATCGTTCTTTAAACTTCCCAATTTTTTCTTAACAAGCTCAGAATTAATGTGATCATCTTGTTCAATTATGTTTCCATCTATCAGCTGTTCAAGATGAGGAATATTGCTTATATTTTCATTAAGAAACTGAAGAAAATCAGAATTTAATAACTCATCATTCTCATAATCATCAGATACGAGCATTCATCAAATATTCCTCAAAGATCCTATCCTCATCCTAACATTTTGTTTATATTTAATGTATTTAAAGAAATCCTTATTGTTAATTTTTACATTTTCAGCCAACCTTTTCTCGTACATCCTTTTTGGTGTCCTAATTTCCTGTTTGACCAATTTTCTTGATTTTCTGTAATCTTTTTAATCTCCCATCTTGCCAGTTAATTTAAATTTCTTAAATTTGTGATGTTTTTCTTTAATCTTGCCTCTGGTACTCTTTGTAAGCCAACCTGATTTTTTTTTTTTTTTTTTAACTTGCAGCTACTCTTTTTTCTTTCTATAAGGAATAGTTTTACCTTGAATACTTAAAATTTATCTTTAAGAATTTTCCACATGTGATTAGTGTTTCCAAATAACTCAGCTGCCCAATTCACAACAGATAATTCTTGTCGCATCCCTTAAATTAGTTTTTTTGCAATTTGTAACCAAAATATCATTATTCCTCACCTCCATATGCAGCAATGATCACTTGCATCCAGATGTTCCCCAATTTTCACTCTCTCAAACGTTTCTATATTTGAAGTTAACAATAACTCTGGAATGGCATTGTTTCTAGTTGGATCCTTGACTAACTGGTGAAGAAAGCCATCTTGAACAGTTTCCAGAAACCTTTCTCCTTTGTAGTTTGACTCTAGCATTTCCCATTAATATCATTAATATCATCCATGATTATGAATTAATTAACAGCTGAAATCTTAACCTCATTGTAAAGTTTGTCACTAATTTAATCAGTATTAATGGATACAGTCTCCTCTGGGGAGGTGTTGTTATTGATGGGAGGGGTCATTCAGGGTGTATTCTCGCAGATCACAACCTTTCTCTCTCTTTAATGCTGGTTCATTTACCTATTTTCACACACCTAGTCAGTCTTTTACTGCTATTAATCTACCCATTTGTTTCCATTCTCATTTTTCTTGGAGTGTGGACAGTGAGGCAGTGATAATTTTTCCCCATCATTTTGTGAGAGTTCACCCAACTCATTTTCACCACTCTCTCGGAACTTCATTCTGCTGTCGTTAGTCTTCCCACTATTAACAACTGCGTGGAGACCGTAACTGATTGTATTGTTTGGGCAGCTGTTTGTTTGATCCCCCAAACCTTGACACGTTTCCTATGTTATCCTTGTCCATGGTGGACTCGTGACTGTCAGAGGAAGCATAAGGCTCTGAAATGGGCCTGGGATGACTTTCACAGGTTTTGTACTCTTTCCAAACACATTGCTTTCCAGCAGACTCGTGCCCACACCCGTCTGGTCTGATGTCAAAGCCTGAAGGAATCTTGGATTAAGTTTACTTCTATCACCTGTTCAAAGGTCGTCTGAGACAGGATTGAGAAAGTCAGTGAGAAGTATGCTTCCAATTCCCTTTTGATCTTGCTTTCCAATGGCAAGGAAGTTACTATTGTTCATGTCATTGCTGACACCCTTGGGGAGTGTTTTTTGTACTTTTCCATCACTTCTGTCTCTTACTCTACCATCTTGGCTATCAAATCACGGGCTGAGCGATTGCCACTTTCTTTTTGAGCAGATTATCTCAATGACTAATTGTTCATTTATGTTGGTGGAACTTAAACTTGCTCTTCATTAGGCTGGCAGTACACCAGTTGGACCAGGCGATATTCATTATGATATACTGTAATATCTCTTTCTTGCTCTTCTTCTGATTGTTTTAAATCAAATTAGGCAGGAGAATGTTTTTTTTCTTCAGATGTTTGGCACAAGTCTATTATAATTCCTTTTTCAAAGCCAAGGTAGGATCGCAAGATTCCTTCTAATTATCATCCTATTGCTTTGACTAACTGTCTGTAATGTTGTGGAGAGGATGGTTAATGCCCATCTTGTTTGATTTAAGGAACCAAAGAACCTCCCCTCACCCACCCAATGTTAGTTTCATCAACAGCATTCCAATGTGGATAGGTCCGGCATGGCCAGGTGGTTAGGGCACTCGACTCACAATCCGTGGGCCTTTGAATCCCTGTGTCATCAAACATGTTTGCCCTTTCAGCCGTGGGAGCATTATAATGTGATGGTCAATATTATTCTTTGTTGGCACAAGAGTAGCCCAAGAGTTTGTGGTGGGTGGTGATGACTAGCTACCTTCTCTCTAATCTTTTATTGCTAAATTAGGGACAGCTAGTGCAGATAGCTCTCGTGTAGCTTTGCGCGAAATTCATAACAAATCTACTGTGGACCACTTGATTGATCATAATCACAATCGGGGGAGCACCTTATGTCCATTTCCTTTGATCTTGAAAAGAATAATGACACTAAATGGATATATGCCATTTTACACAATCCTGTCCCGATCTTTCACACAGGAACTTGGAGTCCCTCAGGGCTGTCTCTTGAGTGTCGCACTTTTCAGTATTAAGATCAGTGCTATCACTGAACAACTTCCTCCTACTGTGGCAAACAGTCTGCATGCCAACGATTTTAACATTTCTTGTTGGTTGTCGAAAATGAGGTTTATTAAGTGGCAGCTTTAGACTTCTATCACTTGCTTGTTGGGGGTAGACCAGACCTTCTCCTCCTCTAAATCCATTTGTGTGCATTTTTGCAACCAGCAGGACACATCCTGATCCTGAGTTCTGTCTTACTAGTGAGGTTTTTCCTGTGGTGGTTAAGATTGTGCTTGGGACTTTGATCATTATCTATCATTTATTCGTCACATCAAACACTTTCGTATCCAGTGTACAAGGGCACTGAAAATTCTGTGTCCTCTCTTCCACTTCTTGGGAGCGGATAAATATTCCATACTCAAGATGTATCGTGCCTTCATCTGATCTAACCTGGACTATGGGTCTGTGGTTTAGCTAGGGACTCTGCCTTGAAAATGTTGAACCCTGTGCATCACCTTGGGTTTTGGCTCTGTATGAGAGCTTTTCACATTTCACTGGCCCAGAGTCTGTACTCTGATGTCTATGTACCTACTTTTCACCTCAGACATTTGCAACTTTCCTTGCTATATGCTACAGAACTTTGATACTTACCACAGCATCCCACTTGGGGTTGTGTCTTTCTTACTCAGTGGGCTGTGCTCTTTGGGAATTGGCAGTCATTCCTCGTATCTAAGCAGGGCTGGCTGATTTCGGTCTTCTGACATTGGATGATGTTGCTGAGTCTGATGTTTGCCATAGCTCATTATGGTCCCCACTGAGAAGGACAGATACTACTGATTGTAATACCACCTTCTCTTTGTTTAACATCTTTCGAACAATCCTTCCTTTCACGTTTTTACGGATGGTTCGAAATCAGATGGTTTACTGTGAGTCAGTGGCTGCTCACAGGATCCCCCTCTACAATTTTATGCCATTTCACTTGCTTTGAATCACATAGAGGCTAAGCGGTACACTAAGTGATTCGGAATTAAAACATTTCACGAACTATGTTGTTGTTATTATTAGTAGTAGTAGTATTATAGGTGTTTCCCCCAAGTCGTTTTTAGAACAATATAGACTGATTAAAATAGGTTTAACGTGCTGAAGTGCTCGTTCGTGCATTTTAATTTCCCCTGGGGTAGTATTAAATAATTTTAGCTTGCTACTACGTGTGTGTGTGTGTCTAATCACATGCTCTTTTAATCAAGGTGTCCTTCACCACTCGCTATTAATTCTGATAGCTAGAATGAGAATTGTAAAACTATAAAAAGATGAAAATTAAATAGAATACTCTGAGAGAAGTTTTATAAGATCTTACCCATTTAACAAAAATAACTATTATTCATTATTGGTTAAATTGACGATTGATTTCTATGAAATATCAATGTTAGAAACCAGATAAATTGATCGGTAGATTGCCTTGTACAGGATGCCCCAAAAGTCTGGCCTTATAGAAAAGATGAGATTTTTTCACTTGGCGACCACGTGCTTCAAGAGCCAACAGTTTATCACTTGGCCTGCTTGTTTATTTGAAGAAAAACTGGTTTGAACATCCAGGGATAACACGTTGTTTTACATAAAAAGTTACATTCTCCTGTCGGGCCTGACTTTTGGGACACTTTTTTTCATGAGTGGATACAATATTCTGGAAAAGGGGTTCTAAATCTTAGACCAGAATATAAATTTAATGATATTTTATACTTGTAAATCTTTAACACGTGAATTAATAAAGGAAATAAAAGCATTGCTTTAATAATAATAATAATAATAATAATAAGGAATATACTATTCAAAATATCATTAATGGTGTAATGTAATTATTGTTTATTTTAGAGGTTCACAATCTATACTTGTCTGTTTCTTGTTTTTCATCTTGAGAAAGGGAGATTCCTGACCTCACCTGGACCCCTCTCCTGTATCCATCCTTGCACTTCATAATTATACATGTATTTGGACCTGCAGAAAGAATTTCATCCACAAATTTGTAAAAGCTTTTAAAATAGACCCCAGAAGATTTTGGAATTCCGAAAACGTGTAGCTATGCATGTTACATCTGTAAAAATTGGGCAATGCATCAAAGGACGGAACGTTAGTGAAAGTGGATACCTCGTTGTGAGTTCTGGGAAGTAATCGAAAAACCAGAAATGAATCTTTTCCATGGTATTAGTTACTACGATGATCGACCTCTTGCTATTCATCTCCGCCACATTGGTAGCTTTGTTCCTCTTTGACCAATACGTTCGTGAGGTGGCAGAAAAATCGCAACAGCGACCGTATGTCTACAGTGACGTGAAGAAAGACGATAACTACTATAAAACCAGCATCTTCGCTGTTCTTGGATTCTCACGAGTTGATGTGAAATCATTCACGGCTTTCAGAGACCAATTTCAGAGGTAAAAAAAAACAAAACTGTAAAATAAGGGCAATTTTAATAAGTTTATTGAAAAAAAAGTTTATTTTAAATTGAGCATTAGAATGGCATTGTCTTGTATGTTTTTACAATATTTACCTAACTTAAAATAACTATGAAGCCCAACTTGTCATTAAATCCAGAATCCGACGAAACCGGTATAATTCTGTGACAAGTGGTAAATCAAATGATAATTTGGGTTTCGTATTTATTTTCGGTACCTTAATAGCGCGTGGCTGGATAATTTAGAAAAATAAATTAGTAACACCAATGTTGCATGTTCTTCAAATTCTATATAGATAGAGGTTCACTATGGTGTCTGAAAGACAGCTCTAAACACTTAATTTAACTAACTTTATTTTGATAAATTCTGTAACATTCATTAGTTATGTATAATTTTGTTAGATACAACTCTAACACTAACTGACATTGGCAATAAGCAGGTGATGGCCTCAGTCAGTGGTAGAGTGGAAAACTTTTATTGCAACAGAAATTGTACGAATAAAATAACAAGCAAATAATATCTAAAGATTTTATAACTAAAATCAACTGATAGGAGCCGAGTAAAATTACTTAAAACTCGACTTAGGCCCGGCATGGTCAGGTGGTTAGGGCACTCGACACGCAATCAAAAATCTTTTTTGAAAACTGTGGACGACAGTCGACGATTCTACAGGCTTGAGAACACGATCGTCAGCTGCTGTGGAAGCTTTCTTTTAACTACTTCCCTTCCACCACTCCACAAAGACCGTTTTGCTCTAAGTAGTTTATCAATATGGAATTTGGCTCTAAATAGTTTATCTTGCGGAATGTTGCTCTAATAACATAGGCCTGTGAATTTAAACTTCATAAAAGTTGTTTTGGTTTTAATAATGGATTTTACATAATTCAGCTAAGCAGATTTCGAAAATAAT